GAACACCAGCTCCATCCAGTGTGGAGCAAGAAGACGTTTGTGTACGTTCTGGCAGAGAATTTTTCTACATTCTGTGTCCTGCGTCTCTGAGGGAGGCTGAATTTAAAGATAATGCTGTTTGTGTTCAGGTAACTAACATAGGTATTGCATCACTGTGATGGAGAGTCAGGGCAGACACCTGGACTCTGTCCTCTCCGGTCATATCATACATGAAAGTGACCAGTCCACTCTCCAGCTTGTATTTTTGTTTCATCACATTGTCTTTCTTCAAACACAATTTTTTAACCAATCTTTACTTTTGTAGGAAATGTAAACAAAATCTACCATCTTCTATCAAAAGATTAAATAAGACAAAACTCCATTTAAAAAAATTGTGAAGAAGCAGCTTGTCAGAAATTCAAATCCCTCCAAGGTCGAGATTTTTTTAAATCTAAATATGTGCTCAAGGTTGCGCTTGGTGTTGAAAACTGTATTCTGCTTACCAACAGCACCCCTTTAAATTAGCACAGGCTGTGCCCCTTACTGCATCCCTTTAAATTAGCACAGGCTGTGCCCCTTACTGCGTGACTGCTTGCCCTTCTGCAGAAGTAAAACTTTCTCAAATATTTTATTTTTTATTTTTTGTGTGTATGTGTGTATTTCCTGCATGTATGTAAGTGCACACATGTCATGCAGTACCCGTGAAGGCCAGAAGAGGGCGTTGGATCCCCTGGAACTGAAGTTTTTAACAATTATTGAAACACCACTCCCCCCCCAGACTGATCCTTATACTTCGATGGCTTATGGTTACTTAGTTTATTTTCTTTTATTTTTTATTTTTTATTTATTTTTTGTCTTTTTGAGACAGGGTCTCCCTGTCCCCAGCTCTGGCCTGGAACTCACTATGTAGACCAGGCTGGCCTTGAACTCACAGAGATCTGCCTGCCTCTGCCTCCCAAGCACTGGGATTAAAGGCGTGCGCCACCACACCTGGCTCTTCTTATGGTTTTTAACATATGTTCACTGCACATAAAGATAGTATCACAAAATCATTTTTATGGGCCCGGGGAGCTAGCTCAGCTGTTAGGAGCGCATACTGTTCCTCCAGAGAACCCCAGTTTGGTCCCAGGCACCCACGTTGGGCAGCTCAATACTGCTGGTAACTCCAACACCAGGGCATCTGACGCCCTCTTCTGGTCTCTGTGGGCACTGAGTGCACATGTGCACTGGCACATATATACATAAATAAAAATAAAATAATCCAGGCATTGTGGTACACACCTTTAATCCCAGCACCTGAGAGGCAGATGCAGGCAGATCCTTGTGAATTCAAGGTCAGCCTGGTCTACGTAGCAAGTTCCAGGTCAGCTAGGGCTACATAGTGAGAACATGTCTCAAAACAAAAAAATTTCAGTCATTTTGAGACATTCTCCAGCTGTCCTGGCATTCACTATATAGACCAGGCTGACCTTGATCTCACAGAGATCCATCCGTCTGCCTCTGCCTCCTGACTGCTGGGACCAAAGGCATGAGCCACCACGCCCGACTTAAAATTAAATATTTTTAATTACAATATATTCCTCCCCCATCTCCCACCCTCACGTTCCCTTCTTTTTCCCAAAACGAAACTAGTTGAGTTTTCTTAAATCCATCCATTTGTCATCAATGGACTGTCACCTATTGTCTCTGGCTCCCCCTGCTGCTCCGTTGTGGTATTACAACCCCAGCATTGGCACGTCTGGACCACTTGAAGGATGGATTCTGAGCTGGCTTTAGTCACCACAATAGAAAGGACCTTGGAGATGAGAGCTTCCCCACCATCCGAGGTCCTGAGAATATGAAGTGCTCATCAGGATGGTAGCCAAGCTGTCACACAGCTTTTTTAAAAACTTCAGGGGGGGTGCACATATGTGCAGGTGCCTGTGGGGCCAGAGGCATCAGATCCCCTGGAACTGGAATTACAAGCTGCTGTCAGTCACCTGACATGGGTGCTGGAAATGGAGCTTGGGTCCTCCGCAAGAATAGTACTTACTCTTAATCACTGAACCATCTCTACAGCCCTTGCTCGGAGTTTTTAATAAGTGAAAAGTGCTCATTTTACCCAGTCCTGATAGCACACACCTGTGGTCCCAGCTACCTGGGAGTCTGAAGTGGGAAGGTCAGTTGAGCTCCAGAGTTTAAGACCTGCCTGGGCAACATAGCAAGATCCCATCTCAAGAGAGAAGAATTAAAGAAAAAGTGGTCATTTCTGTCACATGCGTTTGCCGTGTGTGATAACAGATTTGGGATAAGTTCTCCTTGGTCGTGTTGTGGTAGATTTTGTTTATATTGTTGGATCTAACCGATTGGAATTTTTGCATTTCTGTTCGTGAGGTGCTGAATTGTAGTTGACTTTTCTTGTGCCATCGTTGGTTTGGGAATCAGCACTGATATAAACCATAAAATGGGCTGTGTTCCCTCTTCAATCGTTTCTAAATGAGTTTGCGCAGGATTGCTGTTACTTCTCCAAATATTAGAGGGAGTTCACTAGTAAAGTCACCTGAACCTGAAGCATTTTTCTGGAATTATAAACTAAGTTTCCAAAATCGAGATGGGAGTTCCAGTTTCCTGTTTCCTCCTGGGCAAGTTTATTTTTGTTTGGTTGTCTATTTCGTGTAAGGTATCCACCGTGTTAGCATGAAGTTTTGTGTCCCGTTCTCTCCTGTGGGGTTTGTGGTCAAGTCCCGTTCCACCTTGATTCCGAGATCTGCTTGACAGAGACTTCGCAGCAGGATTCTGTTCAAGTCTCACTTGTGTCTCCTACTGGTTCAAGTTCAGAGCATGGGTGGGAAACTGCTTTTTTCTAACGTCAGAGCAACAGACCTGCCTGCTGGTACAGTGGTGGTGAATGTAACAGGGGTAACCCACCACTTTGTAAATGGACTAAAGACCTGTTCTGCAAGGTGGAACCCATGCTTGACACAGTTATTGGGACCAAGAATCTGTGACTAGATAAATCCTAGGAGAGAACCTACTGCTATCATTCTGCTAAAAGACGTCACATTAAATCAACTCTTAATGACATCATTATACCCGTAGATTAGTGCACCTCTCAGCCCTCATGATGATTAACACCAACCCACAACTGGTCAACATGCAGAGAATAAGAGACTGTGGACTGCTCAGCACCAAATAGGACACCTATATCACACCTCCTCCTCCCAAGGCTCAGGCATTATCACAGGAGATGAAAGGCTGTAAGAGCCAGAGGTGATAGATGCCTGTGATGAACAGTGTCTTCTGGACACAACAGGGCAGTTTCACATATGAAACCACAGTGGTGGCGACAGCATACAAAAGACCTGTGCAAGCTCAAGCCAGACAAAAATCCCAGCATGGATGGATGGGGGAGGTGGCCATGGAAGTCTCACCCCTAGCTGAGACACTATTGGCAGTTGATAGTCACTAGGAGAAGGAAAGTAAGTTTTCCTCAAGGGTATGGCTGCCGGTAGGTCAACTACAATCCAGCTATAGATAGCCTCACACCCAGGAGTAGACGGGCAGCACAAATCAGATTCAATGGGTTATTGTTTTAAAGAGGGCGTGAAGTTGGGAGGAGTGGGGTAGGGGTCAATCTGGGAGGAGTCAGAGGAGGACTGGGGGTTGCTATGAAATTCTTAATCTATAAAATAATAACAAGCTAGAAATACCTAACAAATGCTTTAACTGCATCCCACAAATTTTCATAGTTTTAGCTTTGATTTTTTTTTTAGTATAAAGTGCTTTTTAACATCTGTCTTCTCTTCATCTTCCCTGGGTCACAGCTCCCAGGAGCCTTTCCTGGGATGTGGGAGTGGGGCTTAGCATGTGCATGCACACACATACACACACGCACACACACATGCACACACATGCACATACACATTCACACACGCACACACACGCACACACATGCACATGCACACACAACTTCCCCCACTACATCTATAGGGTCAAGAATTTCTGCAAGTTGTTGGAGGTTTGACAGCTCTCCCAGCAGCTTTGGAAGAGCCCGTGTGTGGTTTGTGTATGAAGCACCCCCCAAAGGCTCTCAGGTTGAAAGATGATGGTACTACTTGGGAAAATTGGAGAGGTGAGACCTCGCTTCAGGAAGCAGGTCCCTGGGGGTGGGTCCTTGGGGCTATCACCCCTGGCCTTTCCCTGTCCTGCTCCTTCAAGTCCCTGGTCAGCTATTCTGTGAACATCTTGTCTCTGCCACACGTTTCTGATGGCTTGATGCTCTGCTCCTATGTAAGTAACCACCATCCCTCAAAACCATGAATCAAATTAAATCCTTCCTCCCTTACATTGTTTCTGTCAGGTTTTTTTGCCACAGTGACACAAAGTAACTAATATATCCACAGAGCTGTGGTTGCTCTCCTGTTTTCAGCAAGAGCTGGTACCCCGCACCCGCCCCCCATCTGTGGACTGAGACCTTTTCTGTTTTTGCCATTTCAGAAGCCTGGGGACACACATACACAAATACATGTGTGTGCATGGACTCTCTCTCTCTCTCTCACACACACACACATACACACATCTGTATGCCCATACATGCACACTCGTTGTCCCCACAGCATGTATCCAGAGGCTTCACTCTTAACAGAAAGCCCTGGGAAGGGACTTGAGGGCTTCACTCATTCAGAATGGGAGGGCTGTGCTCAGCCAGGGCCCTGCATAGGCAGCGAACCAAGAGTCCAAGGCCCTGAAGGGGGCAGAGTCACACTGGGTCTTAGGTGCAGAGGCTAGAACTGGACCCCCAAGCCCCTGAGGGACCCTCTCCAAACCATCTGGCTCCACTCATCTCCCAGGAACCTGCCCCACAATGGCCAACTTAGATCCTTGCAGAACCAACGTAATGCACATGGCCAGAGTAGCTGTGCCTGAATTTATTATCAGAAAGCAAAGAATGGAACAAAGACTCCGAAAATAAATATCTGCAGAGAGCGAGTCAAGCTAGAAGGTGAGGGAGCTCCGAGGGTCAGTAGGGCTGTGTGGGATGGGAAGGGGCCCGCATAGCAGAACCCGTTCACTGCCTTCCCAGAATCTGGGGGCCGGAGCGCTTGACGCGGACCTGCTGGGCTGGCGGGAATTGACAGACAGTATCCTGGCACAGACAGCTCTCGATGTGTGTGTAGCTGTGGGTCAGCCCGCTGCCATCCGGGCATTCCAGGACCACCTCTTGCTCAGTGGTCTTCTCTTCTTTGCAGCATGAGCACCTGTGGTCCAGGGCCTGGACCTCGGCAGAGTACCTAGCACAGGGAAGGCAGAGTGAGGGCCAGCCTCCTTGGGAAGATGGGACCTCTCCTTGGGCTCCCCCACTGCCCCCCATCAGCCCACACTCATAGCCTGGGACTCACATGGCAGACGTTCCACAGGACCCAGAACAGTAGTTCATGGTGACATTCTTGGTGCAACCATTGTGGGAAATCTCCTTCAAGACAGGGATGGTGGAGCAGGGCACCCTGGTGTAGTTCCGAGGGATGCCTGGAGAACGGAGGTGCAGGGGTGGTGTCTCATGCTGGCTGTCCTTCAGTTTCCTCTCCCCTTCCCAAGTGTGACCAGCCCTCAACCTTCAACCCACTGCCCTCTCGGGGTGAGTTCCCAGCATGCAGCTGAGCTCCACCCTGACCCTTCTAGGGAGGGAACTCAGCTTCCTGGACATGAACACGAGTGGTACAGCGGGGACAGGAATCCCAGGGCACCCTACCCTTGTGCCTTCCTGCCCAAGGGTCTGGATGGAGCCCACCCACCAGGCCACGCCTCCCTGGTTGTACTCACAGGTCTTACAGCACCCATTAGGCATGTATGTGATGGAGTCCTAGAGGGAAAGAAGAATGAGCCAGGCGCTGAGCACTGGCACAAGGGGGTGCCCCTTTCTGCCAGGGGGTGCTGTCCTACAGGAGAGCACAGGCAGGACTCCTGGGAACCACCTCCCTTAAAAATCAGGGTCCCCGGCTCCTGGCAGAGCACATATGGCCAGTGGCTAGGGAGGCCCAACTCACCGGGATACAGACACTGGGGTCAAAGTCAGGGCAGGTGATGTTGGAGATGGAGGAGATGAGCTGGTTTTTGATTTTCATGCAGCTGTAGAAGGTGCATTTATCACTGGGGTTCTCCTCTATGTCTCCAGGCTGTGGACAGAGCACAGTCAGGGTGAGGATGAGCTGGTGCACCCCAGAGGCCAGCCTAGGAAGATCTGGCAGGTGTGGCCTCTCAGACAAGAGGTTGACCTATGAGCTCAGAGTCATTAGACAAGAGGGGGGACTGCCACATGGAGACAAAGTCAGAGACTAGAGTGATGTAGGCACAAGCCAAGATAATCTGGGGCCTCAAGAGGGCTGGGGAGGCAGGAAGGGCTCCCCAGAGTTTCTGCCAGCCTTGATCTTGAACTTGGAACTCCAGGAGTGGAGTGATCACTCCCATTGTCTGATGCCACCCAAGCACAAGCGCTCATTTTCAGTTGTGGGGGGTCTGGGACAACTCAGCCAGGGGGAGTTCTCCAGAGTCATCCAGCTTTGCCCCCAGCTGTAAGCCCTGAAGAGTCAAGACAAGGGGGCCACGGGTTGTACCTTGAGTACTGGCCCCTGCTCTCACATACCTTCAGGATAAGGTATGGCTGGTTGGGCCTCTCGATGATACAGTGGGTCTGCTGGCACTTCCCGCAGCACTCTCCAGGGACCTCCACAAGTTCAAAGCCCTACAGACACAAGTGAGGTCAAAGTTGAGTTCGAAGACTTGTCCCCACACCCAACAAGGCCTCGGGGCTGCTGGAACTCCCCACATGGGGGAGGCCACAAATAGAGCAGGTGCCGACGTGGAGAGGCGGGCACGGGCACAGCTTGGCAAGGAAGAGAGGGAGAACCGATCACTGTGGAAATGATCATAGGACTATGTGCCTCTTTGGAGATAGGAAGAGGGTACATGGAGACAGGGAGAGGAAGGGAAGGGAGGGGCCGCACTTACAGAGCTGCAGGAGGTTTTGCAGGGCACATGGGTGCAGGAGATGACATTGAGTTGGGTGCTGTTGTCCACGATGTCAGTGCACACACAGTCTTGGCACTTGGAGGAATGCACTGGGGAGCTAGGCTTTGGGCACAGGAGGAAGTAAGGAGCCGTGCCCCCCAGGGCCCCCACACATACCCCATTTCTACCCTTAGGGATGGACAGGGGCTATGCCACCCCGCTTCCTGTCCTGTCCCAGCCCCAGGCTCACCTGGTACTCAGCATTCCGGTGTACACACACGCCCTTGGGTACTTGGAAGAAAGTGGGAAAAGCCATCAGAGGTCATCCTGAGCCTCAGCCTGGCCTCACCCTGCAGCTTGGCACACCTGGGTAGATTCTCAGGGCAAGGTGGGCACATAGCCACAGCCATGGTAGGGAAACCCCAGAAGGAAGCATGTTTCCTCCACTGCCCCCTTGCCCATAGCCCGGTCCCACCTGTGACCTCCCTTGCCCTGCCGGCCTTACCACAGGAGTAGACAGGACAGCACTGTCCTGGTGCCTGCTGGCTCTTAACTTCAAATCCCAACAAGCATATGGGGCGTTCTGCTTTGCACAGCTTGGTGTCACACTCTGAAGGCAGAGCAAGGGCATGGTGACCAGAATGGCTCCCCATAGGCAGAGCACCACCTCCTGCTGCACAGGCCTCCGTGGGTCCCCTCCCACACCACCAGGACCAGTACTTGCAGCAGGGACTCCTGACCTAACCCCAAAATATCACCAACACCCTCTCACGTGAGTTCAACCTGAGTTCACCAGGGAAGGGCTGCAGGAAACCCTACCTACAAGGGGACATGCTCAGTGACACAGGAGGCCCCCCCGGAGAGACATAGCCTCAGGGAACTGAGAATGACTCCCCTGCCCCAGGGGTGGCCTTACTGCATGAGGTAATGTTGCAGCAGGTATCAGCTGGGTTGACTTCTGTGACAAGGTAGGTGCCGTCCTCCTCACATGCGATCTGGGTCTCCCTGCTACACTCCTTGGCCTGGCAGACAATACCACTTCCACCCTCCAGGCAAACACAGTCCTTGCAGTCAAACTCAAAGCGCTCTCCAAACTGCAGGGAGGAAGGATCAGGTTTGATACCAGGTCAGGGTATACTGTGGGTCTGTCCATGGCCAGCCAGGGAGAAAAGAACTGTACTGGGCAGCCAGGCGAGGGACCCAGTGGGAAAGCCATATCCCTCCCCACTCCTTAGCTCAAGGAGCATGTTTGGAGAAAGGCCAGAAGCTGCTTATTCAAGGCCACAGACATCACAGAGTTGTGATCGGCTCACCAGCATCACCAACACCAGCCTGGGGCATGGCAGACACACCTCGGGTGTCTATTGAGTTTGTAAAGAACTGAGCTAAGGAGTCGACCAATGGCTGTGAACTTGTACAGGAGACAACAGTGCCAACATGCCACCTCATATTTAGACAGAACATCATATGACTGACTGTTGAGTGGGTGACTAGATATGTGGATGGATGGTTTGTGTATCAACAAATGGATGGGTGGATAAATGGAAGAAAGATGGTTAGGGAATGGGTAAGTGGTTGGATTGATGAATAACAGATGGGTGGTTAAATGAATGGGTGGGTGAATGGATGGATGATAAATAGATGGTTGGATGGACAGATAACAGTTGGATGGATAGATGATTTGAATGGATGGGTGGATGGATGGATGGATGGATGGATGTGTGGATGGATGGATGGATGTGTGGGAGACAGGTTTGATGGCTGAATGGATGGATGATGGATGGGTGGTTAGATGTATGTATAATGGCTAGATGGGTAGATGGATGGGTAGATGAATGGGTAGATTGTGGAAGAATGGATGATGGGTCAGTGGATGGACAGATGGATGATTTGGATGGATGGGTGGATGGGTGGGTGGGTGGATGGATATGTGGAGGATATGGAGGAGGTTTGATGGAAGAATGAATGGATGATGGATGGGCATCATGATGCATAGATGTATGCATAATGGATGGATGGGTGGATGGTGGCAGAATGGATAATGGATAGGTGGATGGATGATAGATAGATGGTGGATAGATGGATGGATGGATGAAAACATGTATGGTTAGATGGATGGGTGGGTGAATGATGGATGGGTGGGTGACAGATGGTGGATGATGGAGGGATGGATGATGGGTGGATAGATGTATGTATAATGAATGGATGGGTAGATGGTGGAAGAATGGATGATAGATAAATGGATGGATAGATGGATGGATGGATGGATGATAATAGATATATGATTAGATGGGTGGATGATGAGTGGGTGGATGATGGAATGGAGGGGATGGATGGGTGGATGGATGGATGGATGGATGGATGGATGGATGGGGGTGGATGGATGGGGTGGATGATGGATGGGTGGATGGATGATGGATGGGGTGGATGATGGATTGGGTAGATGATGGATGGGTAGATGATAGATCTATGGATGGACATACCAATGAGCAGGCAGATAGGTGAGGGAATATCCTCCAGGGCTTACAAAGCTCATGACTCAGCCTTTGACATTCCAAAGTTCTCCTGTCACCTCACCCCATTTATTGCTAAAAGCTCAGAATTTGTGGAAGAATCCCCCTAAAACAAAGGGGAACTTACCTCTCTAGGTACATTGTCAAGACCCACACAGCCTAGGAAGAGAGAAGAAACAAGTCCTGTTAGTGATTCTGGTACCATAGAGAGCTGGGGTCAGCCTTATGATCCAGCCCCTGTTGATATGGAGGGAGCAGGAGGGAGGCCACAGGAGTGGGGGTGCATACCACATGTTGTCACACAGACATCATAGCCAGGGCCGAATTTCGTGGTGCCTTCAGGACAGAAACAGCCTTCCACAAGGCGCGTGGAATTCTTCTGAGAGGAGCTGGAAGGGCAGGAGATGTGCTCAGAGGAAGGCATGGCACAGGTGAAAGGGTGGCTGTGGGGTAGAGCTAAAGCTGACTGGGTCACATGGACGGGGCTAGGGAGTCAGCAGGAATCCTCTGGCAGCATACCTGGATTGGCAGGTGGGCTCTTCTGCAGGACCACAGGCCTGGTACACCCTGTGAGATGGGCACTCCACAGCTGTGGGAGGGACAGAAGAATCAGGAAGGCCGTCTCAGGAGGGAGAAGCCTGTGTTCTCACCCCTGCAGTGACAGAGCTACCCAGCCCTTCCCACAGAAGACCTCCCCCGATGCGAACAAAGATGAGGAGCTGCCCAGTTCCCTTGCCTAGCCCGCAGGCCCCAGCACAGTGCAGGGCATGGGGAGGGGTGGGTGGCACTTACAGCAGGCCCCCTGAGAATGGACCCGCCAGTCAATACAGGCTCCCTCCTGGGCACAGAGGGTCGCGTAGGCTTGTACGCTCGCACACTCCAGACCAAAGTTAGGCACAAAGCAGCTGTCAAACAGGCAGGCTTCATAGTAGTGCTTGGGAGGCACGAAGGGGTGGCACTGGGAGAATAGGCTGTGTCGGGAGAAGCGTGGGTCACCCTCTGACCAGCACCCCAGCCTCTCCCACACGCCCTACCACCCCACCTGCCTTCCTGGAGTTTGTTCAGCCTGCACCTGCCAAAGAGGCACCTGTGGTCAATAGGAGGAGCAGACGGAGAGGGCCAGCCTTCAGGAACGGAAGTATCTCAAGGACATGTCCCCGTGTAACCAGTCATATACGATGCACATCTCAGTGGTCGCTGCGTGCCGGGATGCCCCTTCCAGCAACCTTAGCAGAGGCCCACCTGGCCTCTACTCCACCCAAACACCTGCACAGGCACTTCCTCTCCTTGGCCACCAGCTTTTAGAGCCTCTCGTCACTGTCCAAGCCCAAACTGCCTCCCATATGTTAGTACTGGATGGCCAACTGGTCTACCCAGCGTCTCTAGCTCAGCTGAACCTACATGTGGTCAGGAGATGAGCAGTATCTAGGAGGAAAGACAGGTATGGGGGGTGTTTAAGAGGGTACCTAGGACCTGAGGAAAACGGAAGCCAGGTCATGGGTCCCTTGTGACCCTGCACCCATTCGTGGTGCCACACCTCAGCTCTTCAGCCTCACACAGGGGTTGCTCCTTGTGGGGGGAGCAGAGAGATGAGGCCTCCCGAGGCCCTGGTTTTTGGGTTTTTGTTTTTTTTGTTTTTCAAGACAGGGTTTCATGTAGCTCAGGCTAGCCTTGATCTCCTAACCTTCTGCTTCCCACAGGTCCCACCTGTCCTTGATGAGCTGGCAGACAGGAGACACTGTGCAGTTCTTGGGTAAGACGATGCCTCCTGGTGTTGTGATGGCTGGGCGCTTGGTGGTGAAGTCACGGTGGGAACATTGTGGCTTGGAGGGGTCATTCAGCACCCACTCATCAGCGGCAAGCTCACAGCTGGAGATGATCTCCCCACTGGGTAAGATGCAGTCATCCTCAGTATTGTTGGTGCAGGTTCCTGAGGACAGAGACGTCACCCGTCAAGCCAGTACCTGTCTCAGGCCGTCAGACTCAAGGCAAGCTCAGGCACCTCTCCAGCTTAGGGCCCCTGCATATCACCATCCATCCATCTCCCACCTATCCATCATCCATCCACCTATCCATCATCTCATTCATCCACATCCACCCACTCACCCAAACCATCCATCCAATTGTTATCCACCCATCCAATCACCCATCTTCTAACTTTGCCATCCATTATCCATCCAGAAGGCAAAGCCAACACCGGTTGACTCCACAGAAGGACCAAACCCAGGACAGTGCCACAGTGGCTGCTCGCAGAGGAACAGAGAACCCACAGCTGGCCTGACAAGTGCTCACACCCAGTCTCACCCTCCCAGGGAAGAAGCTGAGGGGCTCACCACACTGGCCCTGGGTGTTGTTGCCAAACAGGCGGTAAGGCAGCCGGATGGAGAAAGACAGGCCGTTGTAGGAGATCTCAGCATCCAGCCCAGGGATGTCCACCACGAAGTTGATGCCTGATTCGTATACCTCAAGCCCGTATTTCTTGTAGGGCAGCGCCACGGTCTGCCTGTTCACCTGGACCTACAGCAATACATCTGGGTCAAGGGGGGCTTTTGAGACAGGAGCTGAAGGGTGCCACCTGCTGGAAGCCTGCCCTGTTCTGTCCTGTCCCACCTTGGTCCTCTCTGGGAACAGTGTGCCTCTGATTAAGAAGGTCAAGGTGCACCTTGGGGTAGCATCTGCGGTCTCCCCGCCCCTATCTGAAAGGGAGGGCTTTCCCTGCACTCCTCTGTCCTTTTCCCTTAGGCCTTTGTCCCAGCTCATCCCAGGAGAAGCCATAGAAATCTCCTCCCAGAGATTTGGGGGCTTTAAGCAAAGATCAAGGCTCCCCAGCCTCTCAACCATCATCACCAATGACTCCAGAAGATAGAGGACACAGCTAGACGCAGGTTCTTCCTGCTCGCCCATTTTTAGAAAAGGGTTTATGCCACCAAGACCTGTGCACATTTGAAGAGCCTGTGAGAAGAGTTCGTGCATCCCAAGTGAGGATCTGCCTGTCCTGGGGCTCCAGCCTGGCTCAGGGGGCCTGCAGCCCAGTCCTCTGCTGCCTGGGGCTCACAGCATGGGGACACAGCAGACATACCATGGACACCCAGCCAGTCACAGCCACCTACCTCAACCTTCAAGGGCAACAGGTCCACAGTCTTGAGCAACACTTCCTGGGTCTCATGGCGCACAATAAGTGTGCGGGGGCACGACACCTTGTCATTGACATCACAGTGGTAGTTGTCAATGTAGACCCCAAAGTTGTCCACCGTGCGGATGATCTCCTCCACCAGCACATAGGTACAGTTGCCCTGGTAACTGTAGTAGAGACCGTCGAAGGTGACGTAGTGTGGGTCTCCCCAGCCGGTACAGTAGCCTACAGAGGAAAACTCCATGAGTTGGTGTCACCAGGCTGGTACCACTGGAACGGGATCATGGTCAGGGCTTAAGGGACAGAAAGAGAAACCAGCAGGAACTGAAGGAGTGTGCGGAGCCTGGTTCCTGGGTTGGGTCACGAGGGCCATCCAAGCCTATAGCAGATTTGCCAACGGAATCTCTCCACTCATCCCACAGAGACACCCTCTGCAAGGTGAGGCCTTCCTTTAGAGCTAGAGGACAACCCCTAACCTCAGAAACATCCTTGCTCAAAAGGCGCCCCTTCCCCACCAGGCAAGCCTTCTCCCTGCCCAGCTTCTGCCAGGGTGGGGGGTGTAAAAGGTATTGAGAAGTCTCTAGTACTGTGTGCCTAGCCTTTAGCAGGTGCTTAGCAATCCGGGTCTGTTTCCAGGAGCCTGGTCCTGTAGCCCCCACAGCCAGAGAAGGAAGGAACGTGGTGGGCGTGTCCCCAGGCAGCCGAGGGTCTTACAGTCACACTCCCAGTGCCAGCAGCAACCGTTGGGGTCAATGACACGCACTGGCTTGCGACCGTTGGAGCAGGTGGGCATGGGCGGAGGGTTACACTCTACTTCCACAATCTCCACTACGTTATCATACTTGCAAACGGCCATGGTGCAGTTACACAGCCACCAGGTCTCATTCTCCTGCAGGATGGAGGATACGGAACAGTCAACGGGCAACCCAGCACAGCTTCTCCAGTCTGCATGGGAAGGTGGGACACACTCGGAGCTGAAACTAGGGGCAGCTGGGATCAGGCCACGGCAAGGCAGGGCATGGTAAGAAGACAGAGGGTCAGCAGACCCCGCACCAAAGAGACTGTGGGACACATCAGTCCCACTGGAGAAGGTGCAGGGTGTGAGTTGGACAGCCAGGAAGGGTGTCACTCAGACCCTGGATGCCTGGACATGGACCTGCTCTGTGTCAGGGAGACAGAGCCACGCACTGACTACTGACCTGTCTTGGAGGATCAAAGTCAAGGCACGCAGGGGGCTTAGTGGTGACTGATGTGCTGGCCGTAGACTTGGGTGACATGGATGTTGGCGTGGAGGGTGTGGACTTTGGGGATGTAGTGGGTAGTGGGGAGGATGTGGTTGTCGGGGAGGGCGTTGGTGTGGAGGGTGTAGGAGTTGTGGTTGGGCAGGACCAGTTGAAGATCTGGAGTTCGCACTCTATGGAGCAGTTCACATAGTAGCAGATGTCCCCATGGGTTTTGTTGTAGACCAGTTCACCTACAAGGAAAGAGAAGGACCCCGTTCTTACACCATCCAGAGGCAGGGTTGGCTACAAGAATATGCTAGCAGGTCCCCATGAAAGCCACAGGAGGGGACTCACTGCTATAGGATCCCCATGTCCTTAGAGTTCTTGTGTTAGTTGTATTAGGAGAAGGGGCCTTTGGGAAGATTAGGGTTAGACGAGGTTATGAGGGCAGGGCCCCCAACATGGCATTAGTGACATTATGGGAAGAGGAAGTGTGAACAGAGCTCACACTTGCTCAGTCTCCCCATATGATGCCTGCACTATGTTGTGATGCAGAATGAGGTCCTCACTGAGTACCAACGTCATGTTCTA